AGGAGTGCCTGTTGTGTGATGATGAGTGTGAAAGTGTGAGTCATACAGTAACCTGGCCTGATCATGCACAAATCACAGTGTAAAAAGGTGCGTGCAAAGGTCAAGCTAACATGTTGCCTTGGCAGTACGTCTTGAGGCAACTTCAACGTACGCGACAAATGCTACCTGTGGTCGGAATCCTTTTAGCAACATCACCACCATCCAACAGAGCGAGTAAGGTGATCTCCTGCCTGAATTCCTATACACAAACCTATACCCTTTGATGTACGTAATTATTGTGCAAAGCAAATGCATTGATGCGTCATGATCAGTTATAATAGCGGTGTATACTTCCTCTGGCAAGTCATACTCCTTGAGGTATTGACCACATAAGTGTATATTATAGTCCTATTAATACAAACACAATCCAACAGTTGCATAAGTGTAACTAGCTAACACTAAAAAATCAGGATGCATGTGCGTGTATAATGTGATACAACTATAACTGTGATGACAACCATCATAGTATCCGCTACTCACAGGTCATCTTATATTACATTGTCTGGTCAGGTGTAGGCGATTACATTGTCAGTGTCAGGTGTAGGCTCATATGGTAAAGAGTCACGTTAAAGGACTTCCAACTTTTGGTTTGTTTGAAATGGCTTGTCATCTCCTATGCACACCTGGACAAAAATTAACATGTCATTATAATAATATCATTAGACAACCTCTAATATTATGGTAAACTTTCCTAGGTTGAGGATGTTGACACAAATTAGTATATAGGGACCGCTACAGTGAATTGTTTTCATGCTAGCCTATAGTGTGAAGTGTGTGTTGTGTTATGTAATGACATGATGAGTCCTCTACCTAACTGATGAGACAGTTTTATCTTAGTTCGTCGCACGGCTTACGATGCATGTGTTCTTATTTCAAGTGTGCATAGACATGTAACTTACCACCATCCACACCATCCCCTCCATGCAAAATAGGGAGTACACTGTATATCTGCTGCCTTCCAGCCGTCTTATAGAGTGTAGTAGGGGTATCAATGAATAGTTTAGGTCGTGGTGTAGATAGAAGAAGGTGGTATCAAGCCAGTTGGTGAAGCTGGTAGTTCAACGAGTCTTCTGTTGCCGAGGCCAACGTGGACACAATCTAAAGAAGCATAGAAAGAAGGTGTCGCTGTATTGCGTTAGTAAAGCACATTATGCACTACAGAGTGTACATATAATAACTCGCCTATCAACCATAACACTCCAGCTGCCTGTGTGTTGTTGTATACTGTCAAACTAGTTGTTACATGTCCTAAATTATCACATAATTTTAACTCCAACCCTGCAGTAATATCTAGGGTTGCCTTTAATTCAAACTCCATGGGAATTATTGCAGGTATAATTTGGTTGATGATGTTAAAGACCATTCGTTTATACAAAGGTTTGTTGAAAGTTTTGCAAACATTGGCATCCTCATTCACCTCAATGTTTATGAGAATTTTTCCCATCACATTTACGTACAGCTTTGACTCAGTTGACACTGTTGACTTTTTTCGCAGGATATTTATCCTAAGAAAAGGCACCTTAAAATCATAGATATTAGCCTCAACTATTGCGTGTCCACCCATCGTGTATTCACCATTATTGGAAACGCTACCATGACCACCAGCGCCAAGAGTTAAGTTTATATGTTCACCACCATATTGCCTTTTCCAAGCGTATGCAAATTCGTTGGTGCATGTTTCAATACTGGTTAGACAACTGGTTAACTGCAGCAGAAGTATGAGCCAAGATTCCCATTGACTACTGTTATGGCTTGTGTACTGCATAGGACTTGAACTGACACCCTGGAGAGAGCGAAGAATGTTT